TGGGAATTCCGGGTCGTAACAGTGTTAGTTTAGGCATTCTACTAGCGTGCTTATTTGTTTTCTTGATTACGGTCTTGTAGTAGCAACTTTTTTTCTTACACTTTAGCCCTTGGTATACCATAGGTTATAGCGGTTGTGGTTGATGATGGTAGCTTAAGGACATGTCCTCGGGTGGGAGAGGGGGGCAGGGGTTGGCAGGGGGCAAGGATTGTAAGGGGCACAAAGGAGACATTAGGTTGAAAATTGGATCTTGGAACATATGGACTTTAATAGGGAAGTCTATTGAATTGACTAGGTTTCTCCAGAAGATGAAGGTCAATATAGCTTGTGTCCAAGAGGATAGGTGGGTGGGGACTAAGGCGCGGGAGGCGGACGAGTTTAAACTGTGGTACTCCGGAGGCATGAGGGGTAAGAACGGAGTTGGCATCTTGGTGGATAGGGAACTCAATGAGCTAGTAGTAAAGGTTAGGCGGGTGAATGATAGGTGGATGACTATTAAGTTAGTGATTAGATGGTGTACTTTGAATGTTATTAGCGCTTACGCATCCCAAGTAGGGCTGGATGAGGAGGTTAAAAGGCGCTTTTGGGAGGGTTTGGATGAGGTTGTGCGTGGTATTTTTCCCACTGAGAGAATATAGGAGGGGATTTTAATGGGCATACCGGGAAGACTGCTGAGGGTTATAATGAAGTGCACGATGGCTTCAATTTTGGGGATAGAAATGAAGGTGGTACTTCGCTGCTGGATTTAGCTAAGGCATTCGATTTAATGATAGCGAACTCGAGTTTTTAGAAGAGGGAAGAGCACTTGGTTACCTTCCAGAGTACGACGACCAGGACCCAAATTGATGATCTCTTTCTTAGGAGCTATGATAAAGGTCTCTGCACAAATTGCAAGGTTAGCTTGAGTGAGAACCTCGTGACCCAGTATAGGCTTTTGGTAATGGACTTAGACATCGTGATAATGAGGAAGAAACGGGTTTGGTGGGTCGATCAAAGATCAGGTGGGGAGTCTTGACTAAGGACAAGGCTCAGGAATTATAGGAGAAGTTGTTGGCTTTGGGGGCTTGGAGGAGTAGTAGGGACGCAAGTGGTATATGGATGATGACAACGAACTACACTAAGGAGGCTGCGAGAGAGGTGTTAGGGGTTTCGAAGGGTTATGTTGATGGCCAATACGGGGACTGGTGGTGGAATGAAGATGTCCAAAGGAAAGTAGAAGCTAAGAAAGTGGCATATTTGAAGCTAGTAGAGAGCACGAACGAGGAGGAGAAGAGGACCAACAGAGAAGGGTATAAAAAAGATAAGAAGAGGTGAAGCTAGCGGTCACGGAGGCTAAGGCTGCAGCATTTGCTCATCTATATAATGAACTAGGGGACAAAAAGGTATTTCGGCTGGACAAGGTGAGAGAAATGAAGGCTCGTGATCTGTACCAAGTGAGGTGCATCAAAGACGAGGAAGGCAGAGTTTTAATGGAAGTGGCACAGATCAAGTGAAAGTGGCAAACTTACTTCTATGAACTCCTGAATAAAGATGGGGGCAAAAATATTGTGCTGGGCGATTTGGAGCACTCAGAGAGTCGTCGTGATTTTCAATATTGTAGGCGCTTTAGTATTGAGGATATCACTAAAGCTGTGCGTAAGATGAGTTAGGGCAGAGCGACTGGGCCAGATAAGATCCCAATTGAATTTTGGAGGTATGCGGGTAGGGATGGCTTGGAGTGGTCGATTGGGTTATTTAATGTTATTTTTAGGACGAAGTAGATGCCTGAGGAGAAGAAGTGAGTATGATAATCCCATTGTACAAGAATAAAGGTAATATCCAAAATTATAAGAAATATAAGGGTATCAAGTTGCTTAGTCATACTATGAAAGTTTAGGAGAGGATGGTAGATTCGAAGGTAAGGAGGACTGTGCCTATTTTCGGGAATTAGTTCGGTTTCATACCGAAACATTCGACTACGGAAGCCATCCATCTTGTTAGGATATTATTGGGACAGTACAGGGATAGGAAAAAGGATTTGTATATAGTATTTATTGACGTAGAGAAAGCATACGACAAGGTCCCTAGGGAGGCCCATTGGAGATGCTTGGAGGCTAAATGTGTTCTTGTAGCATACATTAGAATGATTAAGGACATGTATGATGGAGCTAAGAATCGGGTGAGAACAGTGGGAGGAGACTCGTATTCTGGTTAAGATAGGGTTACACCAAGGATTTACGCTCAACCCGTTCTTATTTGCATTAGCGATGGACGCACTGACACATCATATTCAAGGGGAGATTCGATGGTGTATGTTATTCGCTGATGATATAGTACTGATTGATAAGACATAAAGCTGCGTAAACGAGAAGTTGGAGGTTTGGAGATAGACCTTAGAATCTAAATGTTTCAAGTTGAGCAGGGCTAAGACAGAGTACTTGGATTGCAAGTTCAGCGGCGAGACGGGGGCAGCGGACATGGATGTGAGGCTTGACTCGCAAGTCATCTCCAAGAAAGGAAGTTTCAAGTATCTTTGTCAGTTATCCAAGAGAATAGGGAGATTGAGGAGGATGTCACACACCGCATAAAGGCAGAGTGGATGAAATAGAGGTTAACATCCGATGACCTGTGTGTCAAGAGTGTATCGCCAAAACTTAAAGGTCAGTTCTACAAAGTGGTGGTTAGACCGACTATGTTGTATGAGGCAGAGTGCTGGCGAGTCAAGAAATCCCATATCCAAAAGATGAACGTAGCTGAAATGAGGATGTTGAGATGGATGTGCAGGCACACTAGGTTAGATAAGATTAGGAACGAGGATATTCAAGAGAAGGTGCACGTGGCCCCCATAGAGGATAAAATGCGAGAAGCGAGGCTTCGATGGTTCGGGCATGTGAGAAGGAGAAGCCTAGATGCTCTAGTAAGGAGGTAGTGGGTATGGGAAGAGCTAGAGGGCGCCCTAAGAAGTATTTGGAGAGGTGATTAGGCAGGACATGGCGCGACTTCAGCTTACCGAGGACATGACCCTTGATAGGAGGGTATGGAGGTCGAGGATTAGAGTAGAAGGGTAATAAATCACCATGTATTTTTCTCGGGTTTATTATGGCTAGTCTGTTAGTATCTTGTCGTTGTTCTTAGATTTCTAGTATTATGTCTGTTTTCGTACTATCTTCTGCTTTGATTTTCTAGTACATTGTCGTTGTTACTGATTGTTGCTATTGCTATTATTTTCCTCCATCTATTTTTTTGGTTCATACATTGTTGGTATCATTTTTCTGGCTTTTATTGTTAATAATTGCTTGTTTCTATTCCTTCTTTCGAGCCTCACTATCGGTACTGTCACAGGGCCAAATTTTTTGCAATAAGGCACTGCGCGGCAGCAGCCTGACACTCAAGCTACTCAGCCTTTTCCAACACTTAGCCAACTTTTTAGCAAGTTTGGCCTTTTCCAAAATTTGGCAGCAACATAAAGAGAACACAATCAAGTACGGTAAAATCCCAACCTTTGTATTAATATCAAAATATGCAATGGAACCCTCACTTTGCTATGAATACAAGTCGTTCACAGCCCACTTCGACTAGCCAAGATCACAAGTCGATCTTGTCACACTAAAACCTGCCCAATGCCCAGCCTTAGCCCCTTTTTAAAATATTTAGAAACCCTCATGTTTCTCTCTTGTTTCCCACTTTACTATGAGCACAAGTCGTTCACAGCCCACTTCGTCTAGCAAAGATCACAAGTCGATCTTGTACACTAAAACCTGCCCAATGCCCAGCCTTAGCCCCTTTTTGAAACACTTAGAAACCCTCACGTTTCTCTCTTGTTTCCCACTTTACTATGAACACAAGTCGTTCACAGCCCACTTCGTCTAGCAAAGATCACAAGTCGATCTTGCATACTAATACCTGCCCAATGCTCAGCCTTAGCCCCTTTTTGAAACACTTAGAAGCCCTCATGTTTCTCTTTTGTTTCCCACTTGGAAGTCTCACAACTAAACTCCCTTTTCTTTGAAGACACTTTTCTTCTTTGAAGACCCTCTTCTTGCCTCTCCCCTTAATTCCACACGAAATTCCCACCTATTTATAAGTATAGATGCTGCCACTGGTAGATTTGAAGGGGCAAATTCCATCCTAGTGCTTTTCTCAGTCAAAGCACTAAATAAGCAATTAACCATTTAATGGGGCATTACCCACGAAATAGCCCTCTTCAGCACTTAGTTCTGTTTTGTGGAGCACTCAGCCTTGTTGGTAGAGCACTTAGCCCTTTGGTGGAGCACTGGTCCCACCTCCCACTGAAACATACTTTGCACACAGCTTTGCTAAATCTGTCCTAACTTGTAGTTGACATCCCCAGCTACTTAGGCCTTTTTCCACATGAAATGACCTTAGATACAAGCACTAAACAGACATGGGTATAAGTCATTACAAAAATACAACGCCCCACTGCTTTGGCATGTGCACTGCATGTGTCCTTTTTCTTGGTCAGCTATTGCACGTCCAAGGCTGGTATTGCACCCAGCCTTGGCTGATTTTGACATTGCTCCACGGCAATGCCTTGTCCGCAATCTGTTGTCCATAATTTTGCCGCACACGCCCGACACTCCTGTCGCTCGCACATTGCCTTAGCCGCGTTTCTGCCTTGTCCTTGTCAACACTTGTTTCACCCGTGCCATTGCTTGTCTTTTGCCTCACATAGCCTTGCCTTAGCTATTGAGACCCTTTGCCATCATTCCGCGCTGTCGTGATTTAGCTTAGCCTGTACTTGGCGCTCCCACAACTTGAATTGTCCGTACCTTTATCTTTGACGCGCATGTCATGTCATGCCATGCCGCCCTAACTTGCCCACAGAGCCTTATCAAGTCTTTGCCAAGCTTGTCTTGCATGCCCCAAGACCTTGGCCAATACTTGTTTGCATGAATCAAGCCCTAATAGGTACAACCCCATATCCATCTTGTGGGACTTTTGTTGTTATTGTTACTTTACAATAATTAGTTACTCAACTAATCACATTTTTTAGTCAACCGCTAACTCCAGTTATCTAACCTGAGGTTACTCCATCCTCAATATTCGACATATCCTTTTCTGCAAATTATCTTGACAGTGATCACAAAATCTATGGCTCATTTACTAGGAGGATTAGCTACTCCCCTTCTCTGCAAACCCATTAATGCTTCTTCTTCTTTCAACAACAATTACACTTCCGCTTCCTCTTCCTCTCTCCACGCGCTTGATTCTCTATACATCAAACGCGCCGCCGAGCTAGCTGACAAATCGGCGGGATTCACCGCTCCTCATCCTAACTTCGGCTGCGTAATCGCCCATCCCAATAATGGTGGAGGTACGGTGGTCGGAGAAGGTTACTTGTACGCCGAAGGGACAATTCCGGCGGAGGTGCAGGCTGTTGAAGCCGCCGGCGAGCGGTGTCGAGGTGCCACTGCTTATCTCAATATGGAACCTGGAGATTGTCACAGCAATAGCAGTGCTGTCTCAGCCCTGATCAAGGTATATTTACTTAGTTGACTTTCTCTCCTTCAATATAATCTGTATCTTTACTCAAATAGTGCCAGCATATAGAAGAAGGGTATCGCAAATGATATTTCCTTACACATATAAGGCAGTTACTAGATTAGTTTGCTGTATTTTACTAAACAAGATTGAGAAAGCAATAGATTACTTCAATTGATCCTGGTCGCGTCTCTTACTTTTCGGAACATATGTGTTTCATGCATTTGGGACTGTCCAGATTCTCATCCTTTTGCTGCTTGACTGACTGCACCTCCGTTTTTAATGGAAGATGGACCATGATGCTATGATGAATAGATAATAGTTCAATTCTTGGCTTCAACGGAAGTCCATGCTTGTCCACCCAGCCAACAGTGGTGGAGGTAAATAATGGAAAAGGGATTCAAATTATACTGTAAAAATAGGGTAAAAATGTATTTTTATGGTTATGTATAAGCTATTGAATCCCCTTGATATAAGGGAAAAATCTAATGGAGTCACAAAGCGACTCAAAAATTGTTTTAGGTCGCAGCTTCAAATCCTAGGTGTGACATTCTATTGTTTTTAATCCCTTTGTATAAATTCTTGGCTCTGCAACTGCTAGTCAATAGTTAATTCTGCAGTTAACAACTTGTGTTTTAATTGGAATGCATCCAGCTGGCGTTAACCTTTTCACTTTTTATAGTTTTAAGGAGCATGGTACCGTAAATGCAAAGTTGCTGAGGGGAGAAGTTCATGTAACACTTAAAAGTTCATCTGTTTATTACCACCTTATTAGCCAGGAAGACTGATTGCAAAAGTTGATTATATGCATGCTTTTGTGTTAAAGTTTAGCTGGAAATGCGATTGATACATTTTTGTTAGGCAGGAATTAGTAGAGTTGTTATTGGAATACGGAATCCATTGCAACACCTTCGTGGCAATGCCATTCACGCGTTGAGAAGTGAAGGCCTTCAAGTTGATGTGCTTGGGGAAGATACACAGAATAAGATTATTGAGGTAAAATTTAATATGTAGTACATCCAGGACAATGCACTTGATGAGCTTCTGTGTGGAAATTTAATTCTTTGTTAGTTCTCAATTCTTAGTGTCTGGAGTAATTAAAACATTCTACATGATACAAGGAAACCATAGCACTGACTGCACTTCTGATTTTATTCATCATATGTGTCCTTGTTTTTTTACCTTGCAGTTATGGTGAATATCTATCTGCTTTTCACATTTTGATGAGATTAGAAGTCTCTAGAAAAGAAAAAAAGAGAGTACCACATTAATTGTATGATGCTAAATGTTTTTGTAAAATCAGACCATATACTCAGTTTGCTACCTCTAGAAGAAATCTTTTGACAAATTACTTATGATTCCCCAGAATTCAAAATATTCATGATAATTCTCAGAAGTGGAGGCATGCATTTTCTCTCCTTAGTTCTCCCAATCAAAAGTTGCAGGATATCGTCTTCGAAAAGAATCATACATCATGTTCACTTCAGATTATTAGCATTTATATTCTATCACCATACTCAATTATATACTAAATTCCACTTCTCCGATTCAGACTCCTCCTTACCAAGAATTTTCACTACTAAAATTGCAAAACAAACTAAGATATTTAAATATGGCGAAGAATTAATTCAAGTAAAATAATTCTCGTCAGTCGTCACTGTGTAACATAGGTCACACCCGAAATTTAGCAAATTGCATAAGCTTTTCATCCCCCTAAGTTTATACCTTCTTCAATTGTGGAATTATCAGTGTCAAAGGTTTGGATTATCTGGGATAAAGAAGCTTGCGAAGGAACAAAAGCTCTTAGAGGCCAACATTCTATCTCAGTGCACCTCAGGAATCTCTTCACTTGTTTTGAATGGGTGCTTTCAGTGATTTAAGCCCCCACAAACAGAACTGAAGGTCTAAAACTTGGCTCGAGTTATCTGCAGTTAAGGTCCTCATCACCGAGCCATGGGTAATCTGTGGTGACTTTAGCCATGGGTACTCACTGGTGGTCAATTCACTTGGTTTGAAATATGAGGTTTTTGAGGAATTGGTGAACAATGGTGGAATTACTTTTACATTTATGGCAGCCCGGACTTCATTTTTGCTAAAAATTTGCAGCAACTAAAAGCAAAGCTAAAGGAGTGGAATCATCTCATCTTTGGAAGGTTGGAACATAGGAAATCTGAAATTTTGAGAGAAGTGCAGTGGTTTGGCAAGGAAGCAAAAACCAGGAAACTCACTGAAGATGAAAAACTCCTCAAAGATGATCTTCCATGGAGTTGGAGGGAAGTGCAAGATTAGAGGAAATGTCATGGAGACAAATGTCCAGGTGCTTATGCGGTTATGCCTTGAATTAGGAGACAAAAATACAGTTTTTTCACAAGATGGTGAGTGCTCATTGGATATACAATCACATTGATAGATTAGAATCAAATGGGATGTTAGTGGAAGATGAAGAGCACATAAGCGGTGAAATATTGAATTTCTATGAGTCTCTGTACAAATCCTCAATCCATTGAAGGCTTTCATGGTACAAGACAACACTCCAACCATTTCAGATTAAAAAAATCAGCTGATGCAAAGACCCTTTGATGAAGAGATTCAGGGGTTATTAAGACAGCAGTGGGGATAAGGCACCTGCCTGGATGGTTTTACAATGGAATTTTACAAGAAATGCTGGGCCATCATCAAGTCTGATCTTATCATGGCCATCAACCATTTTCACACTCGTGATAGGTTTGAGAAAAGTTTTAATGCTTCTTACGTTGCCCTAATCCCTAAGGAGAATGGTGCTATGGAATTACGGGGTTTCGGGCCAATAAGTCTAATTGTTACTTTGTACAAGGTGCTTTCTGAGTTACTTGCTAACAGACTTAGAGCAGTTATGGATCAGTTGGAGACACAATCTCAAATGGCTTTCATCCTAAGAAGACAAATAACGGATGCTTCCCTCATTGCTTATGAGTGCCTTGACTCCAGAATGAGGAAGAAAGAAGCTGGAATTGTTTGTAAGGTGGACTTGGAAAAGGTGTATGATCATGTGAACTGCCAATTTTTACTAGAGGCACTAAAATTATGGAGATAGGCATTAAATGGATGAACTGGATAAAAGCTTATATTTCCATAGCCTACTTTTCAGTCAGTAAAGGGTAGTCCATAGTGATTCTTTCCATCCCCTAGAGAAATGAGGTGTCGTTTCTATTCAGTAGAGGTGGTTTGAGGCAGGGAAATCCTCTTTCTCCTTTTCTCTTCCGTATAGTTATGGAAGCTTTCAATTGAATGCTAAATAATGCCATGGACAGGGGATGGTTAAAAGGGTTCACTGTGCTAGAAGAGAACAATTGGAAGGTGAAGATATCTCACATTTTCTACGCAGATAACACATTGCCTCTATATGGGGCAGAGAAGCAGCAAATCATGTATCTGAGAGCAATGCTACTAATATTCGAGGCTGTTTTTGGATTACTGATCTGTCTAAGAGCTCCATGTTTGTGGTGAATGAAGGCAGAAACATACAGGCATTGGCCAGCATCCTGGAATGCAAAGTAAGAGCACTATAAATTTCTTTTACAATCATGTGACAAAATTCTGATACTTAGCAAACCAAGATGCTCCTACTTTGGATCCCAAGATACATGCCAATGCCTCTGTTTTCCTTGCCATCTTCCACAACAGGCTAAAGTGTTTAATTGGATTGGTCCAAGCTTTATTACAGAGGATCATCAGAAACCTGGTAGTCTGCTGTCTTCCTGACGTCTGTATTGGAGGTTGGGGGATTGGAAACTTGTTCCTTTTTTTTTTGCTCAAAATTACTTGTGGCTGTTTGATATTGGTTGACTTTCAGATGCATTAATCTTCAGACATATATCTAAGAAATATAAGTCGTGAGTGAAAATATTGCTGTGGACAGCAATATTTTTGCCTGAGGCTTCTTTCTGTAACCTTCACCTCCCCTGTAGTTTTTAGATATTACAGTAACCTTCCTTATTTTAGGTTTTGAGTACCCAAACTTGTTTTTGTATGTCGATCATCCTGCTTGCCCTTTATAATATAATAGTACTTTCTCAAAAAGTTGTGTGTGCGTGTGCGCATCGCTATGAAGTGTTTAAAGCTTTATTTTTATTCTAGAGACGCTTCAAAATATGATATCCTGAAGGGAAAGTTGATCAGATAAATAAACTGAGTTTGATTGCTTACTGAAAAAATAGGTTTTATCACTATCAAAGCTTCGAAGAAGGTGACTGCTATGTGGATAAACTTTGGGGGAAATCTTTTGTAATTTAACCCTTGTTTAGATGCATAATATTTGACATAACATTAGAAACTAAAACCGCTAATTTCAAGACACAGCAAATGGTTTAGTATTTGCATTAGTATGATCAGTTCTAGATCTTTGTTGAAGATAATTGAGTATTTGTTTTATAAGACTCAAAAAAGAAAAAAGAAGAAACGTAAACCCAATACACTATTAATGTCTTGCTTTAATAAATCATGGGAGTTTTTTTCCTTTTAGAGCTAATTCATACATTCTATAATTTCTGCTCTGTGTAGAGTTAATACTTATGGTCTATAATTTCCAGGAGGCTGTGAAATCCTGCCTTTTTGTCAATGCTCCTTTGCTATATAGAGCTGCGTGTCAAGTTCCGTTCTCTGTTCTCAAGTATGCAATGACACTTGATGGTGAGCGCTATGATGTTGTTGCAGCAGTGTTATGGTAACAAATCACAATTTTCATTAACAAATTGGACAATGACCCGTTGTCACATTATGGTGTATACAGGGAAAATTTCTGCTAGTAGTGGTCATGCATCATGGATCAGTAGCAAAAAGTCAAGAACTCGTGTTTTTGAAATGAGGGGTAGAAGTGATGCTGTTATTGTTGGAGGAAATACTGTGCGCAGAGACAGTACGACTCTTCCCAGTCCTATATAAATGTCCGAATGTTGTTAATATACTGTCAGCTTTATTAGAGATGCTGTAAATGGCTTTATGCTGCTTAACTTTGATGAGATGCCCCAGATATTTTACTGTTACTATACTTTTGATTTTGGTTCCCAGATCCACGTTTGACGGTTAGACATGGTGGTAGCCATCTTCCCCGACGTATTGTATTATCTCAAACTCTTGATCTTCCAGAAGAAGCGCATATTTGGAATGTTTCTGAGGTCCCCACTATAGTTGCTACACAAAGAGGTGCAAGGAGGAGTTTTCAAAAATTGCTTGCATCCAAAGGCGTTGAAGTGGTTGAATTTGATATTTTAGATCCTAGAGATGTTATGGGGTATTTATATGATCGTGGTTACCTCTCAATTCTGTGGGAGTGTGGAGGGACACTGGCTGCATCTGCTATTTCTTCTGGGGTCATACACAAGGTTTGCTCTCATAGTCTCATATTTTTGACTCTCCTGCTGAGCTTTTATTATTTGTAAGGAAGATAAATATTTATCCTCTTTAATTCTTAAATGGAGAGTATACAACTGAAAGGCTAATTTTGATTTTCTATTTAAACCGTTTTAGAAGTTTTTGTTCTTTTACACCAGTGAATGACAGCGAGCTGCCTGATTCAGGGGCCTTTTGCATCAGATCAGTCCAATGCAAGGATATATCTCATTGTGTTTTAACTAAATAAGAGCGTCAGTGTGACTTGTCTAGTGCATGGATTCCTTTTGGTTCATTTTTTATTATTCATTGTACTATCAAAAGTTTCTGTCAATGCTCAGAGCATAGTCTATCAAACTCCAGCAGTTTGTGTATCTTCCTTTGCTTTGCTTACAGTTCAGCCTTTAAGGTCGTCTTCGTCTTATTAATAATTCATCAGTCCTGTTTGTTGGCAGCTCTTCTAGTTGACTGAGTTATTAAACACTTTTTTCTGCTCTGCTAAAGGAAATTTCAGATAGTTTGCATATGGATAGGAATTTTTAGTTTTGTTTTGCAGTTATATATTTCAAACCTTACTGCAGGTACATGCATTTGTTGCTCCCAAAATTATAGGTGGGAAGAATGCACCGTCTCCAGTTGGTGAACTTGGAATGGTAGAGATGACCCAGGCTCTGGAACTAATTGATGTTTGCTATGAGCAGGTCGATATGCTTCTCCTTTAAAATCTCTGATGATGTGCATAATAGATGCATGTATTGCTGTCACTTATCCGC